GCCTTTGCTCCGGCGATCCCTAATCTCTGTTTGGGAGCCGATATCACCTAAAATGCAAAATTATTGCAAATCATTATTTTATTAAATAATTATAATGTAAAATATTATAATTATAATAAGAGACAAAAAAATTGGTTCAAAAATCAATTAAACCAACCGTTGGCCTGTTGTAGATAATTGTTAACCATATTCATCTGAATTGATCGCCATTCCAGCCGCGGATCTTCTAATTGATTGATTCGCCTCAAGTGATCCGTATAATAGATCCCTATATTTATTTTAAAGTTAAATATAAATCTGAATTAAAAATAAAATATTTTCTTATTTTAAAGTAAAATCAAAACAAAATTAAGTCTCAATTTCTAATAGTTTAAAAAACTATTAAATTGAATTGAATTGATGTTTAAAATGCATACGAAATACAAACAATAAAAAGAGTGCAAAACTAATTTCATTATGATAATGCTAATATTTACACGGATTTAGTGAATAGTATTAATAATACATTTAATGCTGTAATCCATAATATATTTAACAAATTTCTCAATCATAGTATTTTCCATTCAAATGAAATAAAACTAAAATATCGTCATTAATGCTAAATATAGCTGTCATTAAAGTTTGTCAACAAATTGCAAATAAATTATTTTAAATTAAAACGATTTTAAAAATATAAATGAGAATTAAATTAATCAATAAAAACACGCAAAACATAACTATCAATCAATTGGTGAATAAATTTATAATTAGTAAACAAATTTTGTAGATTTTCTTATGGCATAACATAAATCACACATCAATTTGTAAAATATATTGCAGAGTATATTACATATAATATCATATAATTAGAGATCAATTAAATGAGTTTCGGACCAATTTGTGGATGAAATGAATACTCCCATCCGATGGGCAACTCTTCGGCCACACAATCGGCAAAAGTGGACGGTTTGGTGAGTCTGGAGGGCAAACACAACAAGCGGTTAATCAACGCTATTATCAATGATAAGAGTTGACGGCAATGTGCGGACCTGTCTCTGGGATCAAACCATTGCGTCCTTTTGCTGTTGTGGTCCACATAATAGGTGTTCCCGGTCTCCGAGTCCACCGCCACTTCCCATCCGGGAGGCAGTGGTATGTTTTGCGTACTCCTCAGCCGATGTGTCTTCTTCATTGTCTTCTCCGCCTCTTCTTCCTCTTCCTCTGGCAAATGTCTCAATTCATTTGATCCCTAATTCACTCCACAATCGCTGACAATGGGTTCAAAACTCGTCAATCGATGTCTTAATCGGCGATTAATTGAACACAAAATTAGACTAAAATAAAGTGTTGTTTTTCACAAATGAAACCAAAAACTTGTTTTGCATTCAATATTCACATGAATGCCATCTTTTGTGCGAAAACTTTTGTCATAACTTTTTGAACCTATATTTCTGATACAAATTCTATCTCTAGTTTCTATTCAAAAGTTTTTTTTTTTGATTTTGTTGTAATTTAAGAATCGGTTTAATATTATGGTTGAGGTGTAGGCATACCATGAGTGGCAAACTTGGGGCTAAACCCAAAAGTGCTTAAATAAATACCATTTGAATATAATTTAAGCTCATTTATGCTAATTAACGAGGGATCTAATTAAGACTACTCTAGTTAAGAATACATTGTGTTTAAGGCCCTTATATGGCCACATGATTATCTCCCGAATAATTTAAAAAGCAAACTAAGTTAATACACTAAATAAAATGGCATGTATGTAAAAATACAAATATTACAAATATTGTAGTTATTATAAAAAAAATATGTAGACAATTACAAATATCTGTACTGTAATTGAAATAAATACANAAAATGGCATGTATGTAAAAATACAAATATTACAAATATTGTAGTTATTATAAAAAAAATATGTAGACAATTACAAATATCTGTACTGTAATTGAAATAAATACAGTGTAGTGATGTATTGAGAATTATTAATACAATATTATTTCAATTGATTTTTTAATGCTAAATATTTTTGCTATAAAATTGATCTAATTTTTAATATACTATATATAATGTAAACAACTTATCATTTAATACTTGCAATTACTTTCACTTATTGCCGACACTATTAAGTTAAGTACAGTCTGATAACCAAAGTATGGCTTTTTATGGCAAACAGGTATTGGTTTACAAGTAATTTAAACCTCATTTGAGTAAAATATGTATTTATAAAAAATGTAATTTTGTTCGTATTGTTTAATGTCATTA